ATCTAAGAGCTAGTTCTGCCTTAGGACTTAGTGCTATACCTACTCCAGCGAGGCCACGGGAAGCAGCATCAGGGCTTCCAGATACACGAAGCGTGTATCGAGATGGTTCTTTATTTTGATTAGGTGAGGTCAAATGAATGACACTACTCGGATCTTGTATGCGCGTTTCGGAGACGCAGCACACATCGATGGTGTAAGATTTTAGAGTCTTAGCTAAAGAAGCCTGTTGTCCTATTTGGCATTGTGTTTGGACATTAAAGGTTCCTACATGTAGTTTAGAGCGTGGTTCCAGGAGACCAAGAATAACGTTCTGTGTACTTGAATCGTTTGCCCTAGCGGTGCGAGGTGATAAAAGGATGTGGGAAGGGTTAGTCGTGGAGATAAGAGATTTATTAGGAGTAGGAAGGATTTGAAAGTGACCAACTTGGTCTCATTTGCTGTTACGGGTATGAGGGCTAATATCACTTCCCGGCTGCCCACACCGTGGAAGGGTATTTTTTGAGGGACCTGAAAAAGAAGCCGGATTAGTGTTGATCTTAAAGACCTGGGAGCGTGACCACAGTGCCCAAGGGACAACTGCTTGAGGCCGGTCACGCACGGCCTTTTTGTGGGGGATTTTTGATGTGTTAGCTCCGTTCTTCAAAGGACCTTACCGCCGGAGACGGAAATCCGTGGGATAAGGCGAGGTGTGCATTTTTAGGGTCGACCTTTTCTAACCCCACCCCTCCTTGTGGGAAGGCAGCATCGATGTCATGCTGGTTGTCTGAAGGAAACACCTTACTGCCGTCACACCTCTGTACAATCGGCAGTACGACTTCGCCTTCGGACCTTGGGATTGCTGCTTTTAGTCTTACCGCTCTTCAACCGACCTGTCTGGCATGGTAGGACCTCGAGGAACGATTGTTCCAGCCAGCATAGCTCGATTGCTTCATCACGATAGGCAAGCCCAACCACCACGTCAAGGTAGCAGCAACATTAAGTTTGTAGTGAGGTATGAACATGAGAGCAAGTTCAACCTATAGGAGAAAGATGGTGGAACGATTGAGGGAATATTTACAGAATTTGAAAAGATCGGCACCCAAACTAAAAATAGCTTCAGTCTTTCTACTTGCGAACATTGGGTCGAAACTCTGTTCAATAAAGCAAGAATACCGTGTCCGAGCAATAAAACAAGTGAAAAGTTATTATTCATTGTAAAGCGTTTTTCCAAAAATGTAAACCTATACAAATTTGTTATGGAATATGAAGAGAATATCATGGAAAATAAGACCTAGTTTGAAAATCATACCAAGTCGATTGAAATATCTAACCAATGTGCGTACATCTAAGAAAATCTAGTTCAAAGAACTTCCAAAACTAATAATGAAGACATTCGACCGTGTACGATATGTAAAGCTGAAATCTCAAGTATTAATGACACAAGTAGAGTCGAAGGTTCCGCAGAATACATTGAATTCTCCAAACTTCATAGAAAAACACCAACTTCTGAAAAAGCTAACAAAATCTTTTGGCGGTCTGCGTAAGAAATAATTACATACAGATGTATTTCTTGAATAAGTCCCTATACTGTCTCACACAGTCTAATCAGGACTATAGTCAAAACAGATAGCCATGTATATAGCAAACGATTATAAACTGTTTCTAAAGTTTAAATTAATACAATTAGTAAAAAAATGCAAAATAGTAATCAATTACAAAGAGGACAGTAAACACACGCATACCGAACAGTAGCAGGGATACAACGAAATGAATCAATAAAAAGGGTCAGAGTAATAACCAGTTTGAGATTAAATGAGTCTTAAGTAGTAGGCCCTTAATTCAAATGATTGGTCGGTTTACTCGTATCAATAGAGATTAAGTTTGCTTTTACACAGATTATCACTAGGTGACACATTATTATATTTTTCCTCTGTTAGCACAACTCACAACTATAAACAAAGTAACTAGACTTTAATTTGCTAGATATTAGACCGAAAATAGTAAACGAATAAGTAGCCCTGGAATTCTGGTCACAAAAAATCACAGAAGACTAAAAATTGTTTGAATTTAGCAGCCTACTATAAAAAAGATTAAAAATATGTACCTATTAGGTACACTTGAAATAGTAGCATCAGAACTTTCTAGATAACATCGAAGGATAAGAAAGTAACATGAATTACTTTGTCGCCCGTTATTTTAATGATGAAACAGTTTAACCCAAGCATAAACTTAAGCATGACTATTGGGACTGAATCCTGGTGCACGAGTAAATGTTGGGTCCATATAAATTCTGAAAATCATTTGTTTGCAAAGTCCTAGTCTTAGAGAGATGCAACTCAACTGGCAAAACTCAGTTTTAACGAAGCAGTGGACACGTGGATCCATCCCCAACTATCATCAAAGGATTTATAGAGGACCTCCTCCCATAAAACTTTGGTACGCTATAAACAGAAGTATACACAAACTCACACCTAACTGAATGCAGAAAAAGGCAAGCACAAGATCTCTTTCGATTCACTACAAGGTTGGTAACATTGAGAATACGTTAAAGGAGAAGTCTATCAATAAACCACACATTCTGTAGAGCATGGCACAAACCTTACACTTGAAATAAGGATATTGACAAGAAACCGAAGCTGAAATAGTGTCAGTGACAGTAAGATCTGGATGCAAAGGATGTAATTCGAAGAAATATGTGAAATTGCGCGAACGAACTACTAAAGCTCAAGATTTAAGGGAAGATAGTAAACAGATTTATACTGTTACAAACAACCTATAGCCATATAAACTGACGTTTTCAATTACAGATTACGAATTTCCATAGGTTCAACAGGGAAATCTCTGTCCTCTTAAATTGGATTTACTTTCCTGTCTAATTGTACGCAATTATTTCACAGTAGTCCTATACTAAACACCATATAATCAAGAGGTGGCTGAGCATTACTAAAACATTTCTTAATCACTTTGACTGGAATTTAACATCTTCGCCAGACTTATGAACAGTTCTCTATGGAAAACCTAAGTGTTCCAATTAAACGCTATCAATAGATGAATGAGTACTAGTAGCCTATAGATGTTCACAACTTCCAGTCATAAGCTAAAACTATTTCCAATATGCTGTTGGCAATTTTAATAAGAGCTTAGGGAACGCTAGCTGACTTAGGAAGCTCCTTTTAAATAAATGGATGGTCAACAATCCACCTAATACACTTCACATAAGAAAAATGAGAGCGACTTCAGTAGGAACTGGAGGACTCTCTGTTTAATGGCTATGAATGGCGTTACTCAAAACCGTTCAGTTGCTCTTAAGTGACAACCAGATTGGTCTTAAATAATTAGTTGGTGAGATTATTAAGAAACAAGTAGCCCTTTCCCAGATAGAAATTCTGGTGAGATTGCAGTTCCATCCACTCTCCATTTATCCATTGTTAGATTGACCGAGAGAGTGACATTAAGCGTCCCATGCCACCTCTTTGTGAAGTCAAGACTATGACGAATATGTGAAAAAGTCAACTAGATTCTCAGAATGGTCGCTTAAAATGTGTGATATCGAAGTTTAGGGACTGAATGTAAATTAGACCCCACCATTAATAGCCCCAATTTATATGAGACGGAAATAGTCCTGTTACAATAATAGAACAATCGGTTGGACTTATGCAGTTTCTAAGACCGTCTTGTATTCCAACGTCTGAGACTTATGAAAATAAAATCCAAAGAACCCAGGGTTTTACAAATATGGCTTTGAATATATACACTAAATACCTACCGCTTATCAGGGTTTACAACACGTGTATCCGACAAATCTCATTACCTATCTATATGCGGAGATTACGCTACACTTGCATGGTAACAGACAATTCGTAGTACCCAACACACCACACATCAACGACTTAGTCTCATTTCGACTACTAGGTATAACTTCAGAGACCAGTCACTACGTAATTGCATTTCGATGTGATAAACGCTTAGCCCAGTTAATAAAGTAACAGGAACGTTCGGATATAGTTATAGACTATGACAGAAGAGAGAAAATAACATGCAGGAAACTACTACACACAGATAAATTGTATCTGTAGAAGCCTAATAGTATGGATATGAATCTATAAATACTATATTGGACAAATAGAATATCATAGAGTCGTTGGAGAAGCTAAGTGCTGATGTCGAGACAACAGTACCAGCATCACTAGTAACATTATTACTAGATTTTAGGATATTTCTTGAACAACTCCCGTTAGTAGAAATCTTCAGTGTAATAACCACTTGAAACCACAAGAGATAACTGTGGCTACTTAGGTTTAGAAAAGGTCCGCTGGAAAGTGAAGAATAAGCGCAAGAGATCATGCTTATAATTGCAACGTAACAGAATATCCCGATTTCTACTAAAAACTACTCATACACTGGTCAAGTCATCTTTGCCTGTAAAGCAAACATCGTCGAAAGTAACTTTACGCACGCCCCAAATGCCCTGGTACGGCCGAGAGTGGGAAGAGTCTGCTCTCCCTCTCCAAATGCTCTCACATGGCCACGCGAATATATAGCCTCTGCCAGGGAAGTCCTACTCACTGCCTTCTCGTGGCATTACTGTTGTTTACGAAAGTGAGAGGACGAAGAGCGAATCTCCGGCGCTTTAACAGGGTTGGTGGACATGGAGGGTCCACCTAGGGGAGTTGGAAAAACCTGATTCTAAACCAATGGTGCACATGGGCTCCAGGATCCTGAAGGAACGAATGGCGTATGAACCTATTGTTGGTCACCGTCTACCATGGGACTGCATCTCCTCACAATGCTCCACTGCCTTGTGGATCAGACCTTTAGGTCAAAGGCTCGGGGTGTGGTCCCCTAATAAAACCACCTGCTTCAGTCTGGGCACCTGGGCAATATCTCAGCCCTTACACAAATCAAATGAGATTTGTGATGCGCATATGTATCTGGTGCTTTTTGTACTATTTGTGTTTAAATAAAATAAAATAAACTTTACGCACTAACAAATATCCCTTAAATATCAAGAAACTAGGAATAGATAAGTATGATTATATTCTGAGAACAGGAGGAAAACAAATATCGGATAATTAGATAAGATAGATTTTGTATCAAAATGATTTAACAGTAACTTACACAAAGTAATAATTTCTAACTCTTAAATGAATGATTATAACTGAAGAAAACGTTACTGCTTCTCTTGAGGTGGGACGATGACTACAGGAATATGAGCGTGATGAAGAACATAATCGCTAACACTCCCCAAGAATGTACGACGAATAGCTCCAAGACCACGATTGCCCATCAGAATAACGTTTGCTTTATGGTCTGAGATTGCTTTCACTAGAGAACTACCAGGTTTGGTGTCAACATGTAAAAACGCCTTAGCATTGAGCTTGTAGCTTTTAGCTTCGTGCATATACTTCTGACCAAGCTTTTTACCTTGTTCAATGCTTTCTTCCATAACTCGTGTCATATCAGGTATAGGAGGAGATTCCATTGTCATTCCGATGGCTGGAGTGTTATAAACTGGCTCTATTACGTGTACAAATGTTATGCAGTCAGTGTCCCGTTTCATATTTTCCAAGTACCAACGAAATGCTCGATCACAATGATCACTTCCATCAATCGGGATCAATATCACACGAGATGAATCACTAGACTCAGCCATAATTCCACAACCTAAAAAGCGGGAAACTAATGTTTCTTATATAGTGAAATAAGGGTGAAAATTCCAACCAATTAAATTGAGATATCATATTAGTTAGGGCGTAGATATACAGACAGGTCCTAACAGCCAGTAGTATTTTAGATCACTAAATATTGTTGAAGCAATCAACAAACTGAACTTGAGTGACACTATCAACATGCCAGTTTTATCGCAAATTGATATCAACTACCAGAACCAATGAAAACTAGGTATTATTTGTTCAGATAATTAAAACAACTCATAATGTCATTGAATAAGAAAAAGAGAATTCAGCGAAGAAAATTTTCGTTTCGACGATATCATTTACTTTAGCTGTGCATTCGTATATATAGTTATGTGGAAAATATATGTCTACAGGAGGCTAGGGAAGATTGCGTTATAAATTGATTCATCTGGCTAACATAAAACACTGATGTTATAGTGTCTCATGTAAGAAAAAGCCAGTTCCCATGTTTACAATATCTTACTGAAGCCATGGTTAAAACGATATAAGATTAACTCTATTAAATTCTGTGTTAACTTCTAATAGTAGTAATGCCTTCCACTAAATGGCTTGTCAATGTACCATCTTTCAGTTGTCTTTCAGGACTTCACAGTGATCGATATGTATTTACTTGACTTGGATGAACTTTGAACTTTAAATAAATATAACGTTTCTTTGAGGGTTAATAACATTTCATTAATGGTAGACTTATTCTTACTCCATGTAAAATTTCTTCATCTTATGTACTTCCGTAGTTCGGTGGAATACATTTCATATTCGTGATGAGAGAGGATACTGTAATTAACGGTTACGTATCACTGACTCATCTCGTGTTTCATAGTCATCATGTCAAACTGATTTCTGTTGATGAAACTTATGATTTATTCACTCGGTTAAATGGCTCTACACTTCATGAAGATTATCAGCATAAGGTTGTGGAGATTTGTGAGTTTTTATTGAGATCATGAACCGATGAATGCTATAGAACCATTGAAAACCTGGAAGCACTGGACGACCGTTTTGTCCTAGTATGGAAATCTTCAGCAGTGTGTGCCCACAATCTCGCACGTGGAACTTGGACTTCTAGACCACTGAATTGGCAACTAACGGTGTTCATGTCTAACTTCAACCAATCCACAATATGATCTCAATAACAACTCAACAGTTTTCACAACCCTATACTGATAGTTATCATGTGCTCACTAGTGACTAGCTTCAATAGGTAATTCTCGGAGTTCTAGGGAGATGTGACCAATGGAGTTCACCATGTCTGGTGTGAGGCAGTTACTCACTGAAGATAATGGAAGATGGTCACGCAATATCGTGAATTGGTTGAAGTTAGACATTAACACCGTTGGATGCCAGCTCAGTATTCTAGAGGTTAAGCGATCGCGTGAGATCGAAGGCCCTGGGTTCGTATCCCATGTGCGGGATTGTGGATATACACTGCTAAGGAATCTCTTACTAGGACGGAACGTCTGTTCAGTGCTTCCAGGTTTCCAGTGTTGGTCTAATATTGGTCGGTTCATGATCGCAATAAAAACTTCATGAAGATGTTAGAACAGCAGTAATCGGGAAACTTTAGACCCAGATTTGTTTTCATTTGCTACCTCTCTTAATACTTAGTACTGTGTACCGGATAGCAGAATATTGTTTGCTAGCCAGTGAAACATTTGTCAAAGTTCATTCAATTACGTTAAGGACTAGTTTAAATCCAAATAGTTTAGTAGTAGCACTTACAATTGAAACGCTAAGCAATGCTGATTTTAGTTTACCTAAAACCATCATTTCCCCACAGCGAAACACGCGATCTGCCAACTGTTTACCGTCTCGAATATACTTATGCATCAATTAGTCACACTCAATAACACATTTTTCTTATATCTTATTTGAATTACCTACATGTATACTGTGTGTATTTGTAGAGTTCCAGAAAAATAACAAATGAAATCCTATAGAGATACTAAAGAGTGTACGAACTTCAAATAAGACTTATTTACCTACCTAGTGTTATGATAGTTATACTTAAAGATATGAGACTTAGAAATGACTTAACTGTTCGATGTCACCTCATATTAAACTATCAGAGTATTGCTGGGTCATTTCAACACGTTCAAAATGTTACCTCCATGTTGAAATTTGGCATGATGTTATTGTCTGATGAAGAACAATCATTCGTATAATTCCAGGTAAATAACACACTCCTAGTCGAACCCACTTTTATTAGTATTATGCCTTAGAAACAGAATCTCGGTGGCTTCTTGATCTAATTTTCTAGACTCCCAATGTAATCAGAAGCAAGTAAGAAATTGGTGATTTAATGGCGAGCTTCACATCAGAACTAGATTATATATAAAGACCAGAATTTATTTATGAGTCTGTGGACCACTTTTTAATTTTGAAAGATTCTACAATAGTTAACAAAGTTATTAAGAGTTTTGAGGTTTGTCTGTCTATACTGAGTTGAAGATATTTTCCAGATTTCGCTAATAAACCTATCGCTCAGATATTACTTTGTGCAATTGTAATTTTCTGAAAGTAATTTAGAATAGAATGCTGAAACCACGTGACACAATAACATTTTGATATCCCCTCTGTAATTTTAATGATATATCATACCAACTAACCCCACTAAACTGTAGGAGTATAGAGAAAATAAACTGATTCTGTTTTTTTTTCAACTGTTCGTTGGTGTTACAAGTCTTTACGGAACCCTGTAATAAAAAAACTATCATATGGGTATCACTTTCTTTAACTTTTCAACTTCGTTGTCATTTAAATTATCGAGCTATTCTATTCCTCTCAGGCGGAAGCAGTCTCCTCTGTTGAAACAAATTAGTTATGCAGTAAGTATTTAGACTCCAGATCCGTTAGCCAGATACTGTCGACAACAACCTACTATGGTAGAGAACAAACCAACTTCCAGCTGAAGAGGAAATTAGGAAAAGATGTTGGAAGTGGATAGAACACACATTGGTAAGAATCTATACAATAATAAAACATTCCATTATTTATCTTCTATATAATATGTCAGTCCTACAAACTCATCACAAACATTTAGAGCATACATATATATGTGACCAATTTAAATATGGTCTAAGCAATATCAGTTTGAGGTCATATTGATCCTGTCATTAATGTTCTATTTAATATGTATATAACATCCATCCATCTCTATTTATAATGCCTGCAATACCAAGGTAACCTGTACAGGATGCACATATGCAAAAACGGACTGATCAGTTGCAGTCCAGAAACATCAATGGTAGGATTCAAACAACCAAAATATAGAGATTGGGAATTTACTCATTAGCTAAGTGGATAAAACGATGGTGATTGAGGAGAAAGGTACTGAGTTCGAGTCCCTGAGTGAACATCAACCCTCGGACTCGGGTATATTCAGCTGGCAAGTCCCCACACAACCTTGATTCAATTGCTAGCCAACATCCACTTCTGCTTATTATCTCTCTACTTTTTATTCCAGGTATTTGCAATTAATGGAAATAATGTATTAAATCTTGGTTTTGAGCATGTTCGTAGCAACCAGAGAGATGAACCTCTGGAGTTAAGAAGATTCACATTCTTTTAGAAATACACGCTTACGATGTCCAGTGTCACAGTGAATGATGTAACTGGAAATTAAACTAAAGTGATTTAATAACTTAGTTAAAACAGTTCGTGGAATATTCATTGACAAGACATTCGGTTTCTAACTTACAAGAAACTAATCTGTATAGTTCAATAGCTGTCTTGAGCCATTTAATAAACTTTGAAATAATGAAGATTTACATTTATCTAGTAGACCCCAACTATAAAAATCTACAACTTTATATGAGATTCATACTATGACTATGACTTCGTTCATTTGCTTTATGTGCTACTATGATCAGCTTCTTTTAAGTGGTCTGCTTGATATGTATGATCAACTGCTTGATTTCGTTAATTCGAAGTAAAATCGAGTAACTTAATTAAATATCAACATTTTAATCTGTTGTTTTTCTGCTTCTGATTTTGATTCATGCTGTTAAACGTAAACATCATTTCTAAGGTGTGAATTGATGATTTCAAATAAAGTGAGGAGTGGGTAGAATGTTAGTAAAAATAATAATACATTTGTGATATCCCGATGTGTAGAAATTAGAATTCCTGACGTTTCGAGACTTACGTTAGGTCGCTTCTTTTAAGTAGATAAATAACTGAATTCAATTAACACAAGTGTAGAATATAAAAACAAGACAGAATACTTAGTTGGAACTAACTTCATTATAGTACAGAGTCTGTTAGTCAATATGGTATCATTCTTTGGAGTCATATAGAGCTATATCTTTATCTTAGTAAATATACTTTCTTGCTGAAATTCAGCCGGATAAAAGACTAGTGAAAGTTTAGAACCGTATTAATTAAACTATTCAGTTACATATTAATGGCTGAATAATTTATCAATTTTAGCGATAATATTTTGGGTGATTCATTCATTCTTCACTGAAAACATAAATAGCAACGTATTCAAATGAGAACAAAACCCTTCTTCAAATAGATTCAAATACTAGTAGCTAATGAAAACTGTCTAAAGATCCTCTATTTAGACATACTTTTTTATTAATAACTGCTAAATACTTGAAATGGCTCAACAATTTTCTAGAATTATGAATTGACTTTAGCTAAACCACTATTGAAAACCTGGAAGGACTGGACGACCATTTCCATGGTATTCCTATATCAGGATTAAACATTTGTCCATTGCTTCCGCTTTTCCAGTAGTAGTCTAGCTAAGACCATTTGGTAATTTAAATTATCTACTATCTCCACCAATCTCCCCATACAATGTAAGGTGCGTTTAAGGAAAAAGGGAACAATAACGAACAGAAATTAGTTTATGATAGTGAAATAATAATAATAACAATGGGAGAAACAGTTCAGTTAGTAAAGGTAGAACCAGAAAGAATTCTTCCAGTTAAAGAAGTTACGTTCATTTTTTGTGGAAAAGTAAAAGAAAGTTACAGCAGGATCGTCACTGGCATCTATTCTGAGCCATATATGATAACTTCCATAGTCACTGTATTGCATCATCTCTAGGACCCTAACAAAAAAGTCGTGAAGGACCTACAGAAGCCCCTTTTGTACAGCATTTTTTCATACCACGACACCATGTCATACACTGATCACCTCCCCGCTTTTTCCAAATAGTCCCAGCGTCGGCAAAT